ATATGCATAATACGGTATTAAATACTTGTACATAAAATAACCAATTCATATTTTAGGATTTTTAGTTTCTTTAAAAATAAAGTGGTGATTTCATTTGCTATATTTTCCTTTAAATTTGGAGGTCCAATATTTATGTCAAATAATGACATATACATTGTAGGAAAGAGCATCTAGAAGAACTTCTTATACCTTTTTTATCCACCCCTCGGATTATCTCCCTAAAAATTATGTATTTCAACCTTTGATAGGGCTGCATTGTACCCAATCTTGTGGAAATCATGGTTTCCATAAACTTTTTTACAAATTTAGCCTCTACAATTAAAAATCACCCTATTAGGACTTAAGTGATTCCCCTTTCTTTTTTATACTACTTGATTGGCCATAAATGACTTTAGTCATAAAGACTTTCATATGTAGGTTGATTTTTTATTTGTTTAGTTCTTTTATTTTTTTTTGGCCATTTTTTTTATTCTTGGCTATAAAATCTTGAAGTTCTTGATGAATACTTTATATTTGTTCATCAAGTATTTTGTTGTGCTCTTCCAAAGTTTTCACCTCGTTATTTTTCATCATTGTTTATTTTTTAACAATGCATGTCGTATTACTGGTTATGGATTGATGCTTTGATACAAATTTGTTAAGGCTTTCATTAACAAAGCAATGTAAAGATTAAAGAAAAGAATATAGAATAAAGGAAGAAGAGGAGGAGGAGAAGGAGGTTGAGAGAGAAAGTTGTATTGCATAAACTATATTCTTATTACTTGTTTTCACGTTTCTATTACAATGTAATTTATACAATGAATTATTTCCTTCTAACCAACAACTCGTTAACTAATTTCTAACTAACTATTAAGAGCCCCAACAACATTTAATAGTTATATAGATGAATTGTTTTTGTCGGTGTGAGATTACCTTTCCGTTAGTAAAAATTTTACTAACTAATTCATTGATGAAATATGTTTGTTGGAATAACATTCATTGGTAAATCCATCATCTTTTTCTAATTTTGTTGGTAAAAAAATAAAAAAAATAATGGTTTTACAAATGGAAAATGAATGCAAAAAAATCCCTACTTCATTTTGTTGGTATTTTCATTGAAAAAATTATCATATAACAAAAAAAATATCATTTGCAATTCCATCGGTGATTATTTAAAAATATGTTTTAAAAAAATCTATATAACAAAACTAGAAAATAATTAAATTAATATAAATCAACACTCCATAACACTCAGAATTGAGTTGTTTGGAAAAAATAAAGAAGAAAATCAACTCAAAATGTTTTACAACAAATAAATAACACAAAAAAGTAGAACAACAACAACATTGATCCCATATGAAAAAAAATCCTATAACAACATTCATATAATTATTAAGAACAGGAAAAAATTAAAAATAAAATAAAAAATAAATATAATGAAAAAAACATGAAAAATAAAATCTTAACTTAATATAATTGCGAGTGAAGTTGATAAGAAAAAAAAATCATAAATTATGTTAATTAAAAAAATCTGAGAAGAGAAAAGAAAAAAAAAGAAAAAAAAGATATACCTGAGAGTGGAGGAGAAGAGCAGTTGAGGGGAGAAGAGAAGAGAAAGAAAGAAAGAAATGTTGATATTTTTATATAAGAGGAAGAAGACGAAGAAGGAGAAGAAAAAGAAGAAGAAGCACATGCCCGTCTATTGTGAAATGAGAGATTCTATTTATTGAAGTTTTTTACCGATGCTTTTATCGACAGATAATTAAATATTAATATTTGTAGTCATTCTGTCGGTGATTCCGTCATCAATATTTAATTTAAATTTTTAATTTGATCAAAAAATTTCAGAAACCATCAAATATAACCGAAGACTTTTTAATTTGTTGGTGATTCCGCCTGTAATAGTTAATTTAAATTTTCAATTTACTCAATTTTTTTTAAAAAGTTGTCAAATAACACGTAATTAACAATACAATTGGAAAGTGAACAGTTCCAGTATTCTTTAAAAAATACCGACAAAATATTCTATTGGTGACTTTCTTTGTAATTGACATGATAAATAATATCAGGAAAAAATGAACAATTTACCAATGATTTTACTGATAGATTTTATCAATGGAATTAATTCCATCAATAATTCTGTTACTATAAATGACATATCATCATATTTTTTTATTTTGTTTTAATTTATTTTTTTCATCATAATTTTCTCAGCATATATTGAGAGAATATTTTTATTAGTAAAATTCATTGTAATTTATTGATAAAAATATTATAAAAATAATTTTATTTATATTTATTATTATTATTTTGATAATGAGCTAACTAACATGTCACGTGTTTTTTGTTTACTAGCTAATTCTAGTTGCTGCTGCAACAAATGCATGTTATGCTACTTATTATTGCTACCTTCATTCTTCTGCTACAAGCTTATGATTTTCTTCCAATGTTAATCAACTGGTTTTCGTAATATATTAGTGCTCTTCTTCGTATCTGTTTGTTTTTATATTTTAAAAATATTGTTTTAAAAATTTAAAATTATTTTATATTTTAAAAAAAACTTAACTTTTTTTAATTTTTTATTTATTTCTATATTTTTATTGTTTTTAAATCATTTTAAAATAATAATATTAAAAATAATTTTTTTAAAATAAAAAATATTATTAACATATATATTAATATAAAAAAATTATTTAAAAATAATTATAACTATATTTTCAACCAAACCAGAGAACCACCGTTCGTAGCGTAGAGGAAAAGGAGCAAAGATGATCGTTGGTTTTGAACTTGAGGATGAAGAGCAACTTATCATGTGTGGGGCCCTTGGATCCGACAGCAATGAGGTTGAGCAACGCTTGAAGAGACGGCGGCAAGAACACCAAGTTGGAGTGGCTGGATGTAATTATGAGAATGGTTGGATAACAACAGAGAGAGACGGGTGACTCAGGGAGCTCTAACGGTGATGGGTAGGATATTTTTAGGAATTGGGAGTTGAGGAAAAAAAAGAGAGGGAAAAATTCGATTTGCTAGCATAGACAATTGCATGTTACATGATATAATAGTTAATGGAATTAAAAAAATAATTAATATGATTTCACTTGTTATAATTTTAATATTATAAAATTTCTCCTTCAACCGTGGAAAAAAATATGAATATCTTTATTTTTTAATAATATATATATATATATATATATATATATATATATAGAGAGAGAGAGAGAGAGAGAGAGAGCATATGGGCTATTAAAAAGATTGTCTTGCCATTTGTTTTCATAGAGGGGTCAAGGCATTGGCAGGCGTTCTCTAAGGTGTTTATAGCCAAAACACTATTGAAGCACCCATCTTGTATGACACGCGAAAGTTAATCACCACACGACAATCAATGAATAACATCGGCTTTGTATCACGACAACGACATTGTAAATTAGCGGGAAGGACAGTGGAATTTTATTTTTTTCTAACGAAGAAATAGATAGAAGTGCCTAAAGCCATGCAACGCCATAAAATATATCCTTTCACTTTCTTTTGTCTTTCTCAATCTTTGCTACCCTTCCATCCACTCGCTTCTCTCCCTCTTTCTTTGTTTATTTTGCTTCCGGAACCTTTGTTTTCTTGTATCTTTGAAGCAAATAGGAGGAGGCTGTAGATTTCTGGAACGTTTAGGGCTGCCAGCCCCCGCTCTCTCTCTGGCACCTTTAGGCTGTGAATTTGCGTTTCTGTAAGTCCTTTCTAAAACTATCATCATCGTTTCATTAACTAGTGCTCTTCCACAATTTGCCTCGCCTTCATATACGTGGCTCTTTATTTCCTACCAAAACTAGGAATGATCAATTAATTCTCAGATGAACAGGTGGTGTTTCCTAGTCTCTGCAATATCACAAGGGTTACGTACATAAGGCAAAAGTATTGTCAGTCCCCCCTGATAATAAAATGATAATTCGGCTTTTCTTTTAACAATCCAAGCTCTTGCATTTCCTTTCGGCGTTGTGACGGCCACTTTCTTAATTCCAAAGACAAATTTAAGGAAGCTTAGCCTTAAATGAATAAATTAACGACATCATAAAGAATTCAGTATGGGCCTAATATACAAAGTTAAAACTTAGTTAACCAAATTGTAAAATTCTGTGGCGTAGAGTTTTATATGTTAGCTTTCACGATCTTAGGGCAAGTCCATATTTGGATTCTAACCAAAATGCAAAAAAATAATCCAGAAGCTGATTTATATTGGGATTGTATATTATTAATCGATTGTCTCCTTAATTTCTTCGCTAGCTCTTGAAGGCGCAACTTGGACTTGTGCTCTAACCCCCTGTTGCATGTTTTGTAGGGATACAAAGTACAGACAAGTTGTGGCTCATTGGAGGTTACATCATTTTTTTTCTCATTTGTATGGGTTTTTGTTTTTAATTGCTTTCAATTGAAAAATAGAGTTAGATTGGATGATTTATATATTCATATTGTTAACTTCTATTTGTACAGTTTATATATCAATCTGACTATACATTCTAATTTAGGAGTTATAGCTAGGCTAAAAATCAGCTATCTAATTAACAACTATATACATCGAACATTTGTTAACTCTCTCTTAAAGATGTTGTATAGATATCACATATATCCAACTGGGATACTAACATATTAAAAGGACCATTACTTCTTCAATGAGTAGCTCAGCTTGCCGAACCAAGCCCCCAATAATAGTTCTAGTCCACACAATGCCTTATTCAACTTACACAGTTCATCTTTTTTCTAACATTAATCCTAGGAGAGGGTATATATACTTCTCCCCCGTCATATTATCCTGAAAATAAACATTATTCACATCAAGTTGTCATAACAACTAGTTTAGGTGAACTACACGAGATAGTATGAAACTAACCGTGTTTATCTTAGCCACAAGAACAAAAATCTCTTTATAACGCTTAGCAATCAATCTAGTATTGTACTTGTTAATTGTCCCATCTGACTTTACTTGTTCATTTGACTTTACTTCATTGAAAACACTTGTTTCCCTGATGCCTTCTTTTTTCTTGAGATAACTCTATCTTCTCCCTAAGAAAGCTCTTCATGAGTGCCTCCATTTCCTCTTCCATGACAGGTTTCCACTTATGGTTTCAAAGAGATTCCTGAACATGAATAGTATTAGACATAGAGGATAATTGGATGACAAAAAATAAGTGAGACTTAGATAGATTGTGATAAAAAAATGAAATCATACATGGAATACATGACATTAGAAGATGATTTGGAAAAACCAAATCTATGATGCTCTTTATAATCAATAAGGAGGTGATATCTGTTATCTTGACCACTAATTTATGATTTTTAGTAGACAAATTTTAAAGATACAAGTTATGAATCTATAAAAAAGAAAAGAAAAGAACACCTATAAAAAATACTTATATCTATTTTGAGAATTAATGTAATTAAAAAGTACACATAAAAAAGAACGGCTATCAAGCTTTCCCTATAAAGGGTGTGGATATGGACATAACAAACATAACAAAAAAAAAAAAAAATTAGGTCAAAGATTGAGAATGAGAGGTGAAAAGAATATAGTGAAACCTTGATAACATCCTTAAAGAGTCTGATAACAAATAATTAGGCAAGCATCCTATTACTAAGGAAGCCAGTAGTCATGACAACATTAGTGTAAAAATATTTAGGATTGTGCATAGTAAAACATAATGCCTAAGCTACGACTAGGAGATGTAAATTTTTACTTTCTATGATGCCATTTTATTGGTGTGTAGGCATATGTTGTCTAGTAGATGTAGCCATGAGCCTTGAAGAAATTTATAATATACTTATTCACAATTTCATTACATTATCAGAATGAAAGACATGAATTTGAGTATGAAAGTGTGTGACAATCATTTTGTAAGATCATGGATAACATCACTCTTAGATTTTAGTAAATATATATAGCTTATACTAGTACATTCATCAATAATGAATAGACTTGACATGAGGAGACATTAATGAATCAAATAAGAAAGAATTATAAATCAGCAACTATTGAAACAATATCCCAAGTGATATTAACAGAAGAAATTAGAGCTAAACCAGAATGAACACTCTTAAGAAGACTCACAATACATGGGAAGTAAAAGATTGAGACGTGTCAGCAGTAGCAATTTGGGTGGACTTCTTCTTTTTTTTTCTCAGCTTGCTCAAGCTTAAACCATTCTGGATAGTAATGCTTCTTCAAGCATCCCATAGATTCTTCACCATAAAGCACACTCACTAGTTCGTCCCTGTTTTTCCAGTAATATAATCCTTTTTCATCCTACCAGCAATATGCATTTCCATTTCTAGAATTTTAGACCAAACACAATAATTCATACCATCCTGTTTAATATAAATTTGAGAGGAATTCTCTTGAATAGTCAAAACATGCAACATCTTGTTGTCTAAATTTACAAAGATTTTGTCACAATTGGACACAGTTGCTTAATTTCTTGTGAGATATAGAAGGCTAGGGTTGATTGAAGTGGTTGAAGGAAAAACGCAACAAGTGAGTGTCAGCAATGGCTGCTGATTAAAAATGAATACTTAGACAGAATCTCGTTAAGAAAATGAGTTAGTACTCGTAGCCTAAAGCTTACATACCAAATTGCAGAATAGTATTAATCTTGATGATTTTTATACATAGTGAAATCACTAAGGAATATTTATATAAGATCATATGTATCCATCATTTAGGTATGTTACGCTACAATCTGAAGTTGGGCTAAAAATTAGCTAAATAATTGATAGTTGTGTACACCTCTCTTTCCACATAGTTGTGTAAGAAGCAACACAAGTTCTGCATATTGTTAGAATTTGAAAGTGATGAATTAAAGATGTTGATGAAACTGCACATAATTACTAAACTGTCTGTCGTTACTTGTTCTGTATCATAAATTATCGTAACACGTTACAAGTTCTTTATCTCTCTAGTCTACTACCCTCTAACATTGAGGCGTAATTGACATCACACTTCATAAATGCATTGCTGGATGCAAATATTCACCTTTTTCATATTTTACAGTATGATCTCCATATGTATGATGGAAGCTTCAGAGCCTGAAGCAAGACAGATGTTTACAGTTAAGGAACTTGTACATGGAGTGAAACTAGTAATGGCTTGAGTATGTATCCTGCCACCACTCTCGGTGAAGACGATAATTTTACCAATAGCAGAATGTTAAGCTCCTCGTCCTCCTCGTGCTCTTCTTCATCTGGAGACTCTTTTGAGTTGGATGCAGATGAAATCAGCAAGTCCAATGCAGGTGATATTGGGGTTCCTAACCATAGCGTAAACGCTCAAGTTCCTTTGGAGGACCATGACAATGACATTCTGGTAAGCTCTGTGCCCTGGCAAGAACAACCACCTAGTCATGCATATACATTGACATCCAATGATGGTTCGGCAACGCAGTTTCCTCCAACACAGGTGATGGAGCGAACTGCTGATTCAAATCCCTCTGCCGCTTGTAGGATTCCTTCTTCTGTATTTGCTAGAACTATATCTAATACTCCAATGGAATGGAGTGTTGCTTCCACTGAGTCATTGTTCAGTATTTATATGGGGAAAATGAGCTTCACAGGAGACCACCAAAACTGGTTGGGTAAATCCGGAGAGCTAGGCTTTCCTGGTGATTCTACGCCGTTGATTGATTACTCAAGTAACCAACCTCCAAGTAATCAGCATCCAGTAAATAAAGCAACAGAGGTTGGACCAAAGAAAGCTAATGTCAATGAGTACCTTGGTGAAACTGAACAACCAAAAGCTGCTGAAACAATGAGGCAAGTTGTAAAAGAGGACAAAGAAGATGGAAACAGAGAGAGGTCTCTTGCCAAAGGATCACTTCATTCTGCTAGCCTTTCTCGTCTTTCAGATGCAAGTGGGGAAAGTATCAAATCTTTTGCATTTCCAATGTAAGCTCTATATATTATTATGGATTTTGGAATAAAACAATTAACTGCAAGAAATCTACACATCATGCATGAATGTTTTGCTCATCTTAAGGAACGAGGTGAATTTCGCTTTGAATTTTCAAGTCTTTCTTTTAATTCCACCGGATCTTTCCATATAGAATTAGATGGTAGCCAAGATATTAGGACGCAGGAAATTAATTAAAAGGTATGAATCCGGAAATGATTGAACACATTAGCATTATGTATACTTAGTAGCATATATATATATATATATATATATAAAAGAAATGACTGAATTATCGTGTTTATGTGAAGTTTGACAGGGGATGATAAAGGTTATTCACTATCTCATAAGCAATATCCATCATCACGGCACCAGTCACAGCCGCAAACTCCTAAAGCAGCTCAATCACCTCGGGCAAAGCTAGAGCCAAAGCTGTTCTCAGAGCCAGTTCCAGTGCCAAAAGCAAATCTAAATGTTACTCCGGGTAAATGGTTATCCTGTGTTCCGTGTTGCTCGTTCTGTTCTTGATGGACTTGATCCACTCTTTGTTGCCTTAGGTGTGCGAAATGCTCTTGCAGAATGGTGGATTAAATCGACTTAACTTTTGGTATCAAAATCACCACAGCTGTGATGGAAGTACTTTCTCTGCAGTTTTATTTATTTGTTTTCATTAGAGATGTTAGGACTTTTGTCGGGATTCAGATGAAAAGCCTTTAATTTATTTGCTCTTTCTGCTGCCAAATTTTTTTAGGTTCTGTTCTATGTTGTTATTTATCGTCGTATTAATCATTAAACAAAATACGAGCGGCAAGAGCAGACTCCTCTATTTAAACGCAAAATCAATCACATGGCTAGCTCTACAATCAAGCTCTTGTTACTTATCTCAAGTGTGTAACGTGTACACAATATCAATACTAAGTGATGAATTTAAATTTAATGTGTTTAAATTTCTTTTTAAAAAGCTTAAAAAATCTTAGAATGATCCAAAAACATCTTTAAAGACTTGAGTTATGATACTCAAACCCAACTATTATTAAAGTGCATGGACTCGAGCATAGAAGCCCTAAGCCCACCATTAGGGTGCACACTTGCTATTAGACATGCTGTCTCACTGATGGTGGCCATCTTGCCCCGCACCTTAGCATTCCTGTGGGCTCAGGCTACTATTTCAATATGTGTTCTTTTAAGTAGAATATAACTCAAAGTATTATAAGAGTGAAATTATAATTTAACCTTCTCTTTATACAAAAGAACAAGACTCGTGGGATACCATGAATCCTTTAAACTCAAGATTCAAAATATCTTCATTCTTAATATTTTCAGCAATAATATTTAATTAGTACTTAAAATGTATTTTTATCAATGTTTTATATTATCATTTTATACTTGAAGTATCGATAACTCCTTAACGAGAGCTGACATGACCAAAAGATTGATGTCTTCTCCCAAGTGCAGGAGTGTCGAAGTAATAAATAACTCGGCAAGACCGGGGTCGAACAACAGAGAGTTAATTATATAAATTATAAATAACAACAACAAAACAACAACAACAACAACAACAAGAATAATAATAGTAGTAGTAATAATAATTATAATAGAAGAACAAGAAGAAGAAGAAGAAGAAGAAGTTGATGAAAGATAAAATGTCTTGATATTATTTGTTTTATGTTTTGAAGACATTTTTGAATGAAAGATGTAAAAAAGAGTAAATTGGAGATAATTGGCAGATTTGACTTTCAGTCCATGTTTTGTGTAGAGCGTGAGCTCTAGAGGTTGAAATGAAGTGATTCTAATGACATTAAAAAGCTAACATTCATATCTTTCTGGACATCTAAGGCAAGAAAATAAAAAAGAAGAAAATAAAGAAAGGAAAAGCATGGAAATCATAGCTTTCAAAGTCAAATCTCACAATCTGCCAGTGTTGATCTTTGACCATTCCAACTTGAATATATTGAGTTGTAGAAGTTCAATTGATGCAAACTTAATTTTTTTGGATTCCAGACTAAAAGGCCTATAAACATTCCAAATTTCAGCTAAAAAAGATATCATATAAAGGTGACACGACTAAAAGATTGATGTCTTCTCCCAAGTGCAGGAGTGTAGAAGTAATAAATAACTCGGCAAGACGGGGGTCGAACCACAGGGAGGTTAATTGTACCAATTATAAACAATAACAACAATAACAACAATAATATTAGTAGCAATAATAATAATAATAATAATAATAATAATAATAATAATAATAATAATAATAATATTAGTAGTAGTAATAATAATAATAATAATAATAATAATACTAGTAGTAGTAATACTAATAATAATACTAATAATAAAGAAAAAGAAGGAGAAGAAGAAGATGATAATGAGAACTTCGAGATGGAATATTAATGTAAGGATTAAACAATGATAATAATAAATGTCAAGGTTAGAGGATCCACTAATGGTATGTCAAACAAGTATAGTATAAACTCTTATTATTCAATTGGAAACCACACATAAAGGAGGTTCCAATCAAATTATAGATTATTAACATGATTACATTAGTCATCTTATTCGATTAATGCTAATACTTGTAAATCTCGTCAAACATTCATGACTATAACTTATATTAACAACAAATCAAGTTCCTTTCATAGCTGATTAGTACTTAAAAGTGCATTTTTTATCAAGGTTTTATGCCATCATTTTGCACTTGAAGTATCAATAACTCTTTAACTAAAGCATGTTTTATAATAATACATCTAATAATATTTGATACCCTTAATTTGTGGTAAATGTTCATTTTAAATGCAGGCCTATCACATAAATAAAAAGATTTATTGATGAATTTAAAAACTGAAATTGAATGGACAAAGAGATGGCTAAACTCCGAAAAGATATGCTTATTAAATCTTATGAAAGGAACTTGATTTGTTGTTAACATAAGTTATAATCATGAATGCTTGATGAGATTTATAAGTATTAGCATTAATCGAATAAGATGACTAATGTAATCATCTTAATAATCTATAATCAGATTGGAACCTCCTTTGTGTGTGGTTTCCAATTGAATAACAAAAGTTTATACTATACTTGTTTGACATACCATTAGTGGATCCTCTAACCTTGACATTTGTTATTATTATTATTTAATTCTTATATTAATATTCCATCTCAAAGTTCTTATTTTCTTCTTCTTCTTCTCC